GGGGCGGCCGGGAGCCCCCAGCCACAAGAAAGACCTGAAGACTTGATGTTACAGATGAAAGCAGAGGGGTGGATGATTTGATGTTAATAAAAACAAAAACCAACCCCAAACCCTCGAAACAACATGTTTGAGGGCAGCCACGTAAAGGCTTAAATAAAAGCAGCGCCTCGCAGCATTCAGAGACCGTGAGTCAGGGGCCCAAAAATCATGAGATTGCCATGAAAAGAGTGAGGCTGGAAAAAAATTTTTTTCTTTTTGTTTTTTTTTTTTTTATTTACTTTTGGGGTTTGTGATAAATCTCCTGACTTCAAGCTTTCCCCTGCCAAAGCTGACCTGGGGCTGGGCTACATGGGCAAATCTACACATCCAATGCAGTAACGTGACTCTGGGAGCTGGAGCTTTGTGGAGCTTCCAGTGATGGGGAGCGTCGCTGCGCTGGCCCCGGGGAAAGGTCCCACGGGACTATGGGGGTGGCAGTGGGAGCAGGGTATTTTGCTGGGAGAGACAAGAGGGTCTTTAATACTGATGGAAATGGGTGCTTGGGACAGCGGTTGGGGGTGCAGGTCTCCCAGCCTGAGCTGGGGCTCTCCGAAGGCTTGGGTCTCTTCTCGCCGCACAAAGAGCGTGGAGCCCGTGTGGATTTTACTCCAACTTGGCAGCAAAAGGTGATCCCGACACCATTCGGGTTTGGGAATGGAAAGGGCTGGCTCTTTGCTGGAGCAAAGGGTTAAAATGGGATTGTTCCCCCTCCCCCCCTTTTTTTTTCTAATTTATTTGGCGGTGGCTTTGCCCGCCTCCGGTTGCCAATTTCCTACCGGTTTAATATTGGAGATTTATGACCGCTAATCCCGGCCAGCCTGGGTGCGCCCTGGCCGGGCACGGTCCCTCCCTCCGGTGCTGGGGGACCCCTCGCTGCCCCAGCTTGCTCCCTCGGGACCTGGTTATGGGCAGGGATTGCCCAGCGCTTCCCCGCTCCAGGAACGGGATTTCTCCACCTTCAAGGGCTGTGGAGAGGGGCTGTGAGCCGGGGATGAGCCGGGGACGGTGCTTCTCCCCCTGGCCTTGGGTTTTTCTGTGGATTCAGGGTTTTTTCTCCCCCCCCTCTTTTTTCAAGCTGCCTTTTGAAAACACATTTTGCTTTTTTCCACTGGCCCCTGCCAAGCTCCTCTCGACAAAGGGGGTGACTAAGTGAAGTCTCCGCGAAAGGAAGGATATTTTTTTTTTATTTTTTTTTCCAAGAAAGGGCAAAGTGAGCAGATGATCTCACCTTTCAGATGAGGATCCGGCTCCTCGCTCCCATCCCCTCCCCAGTGCTGCAACAGGGCCATGGGGAGGGCATGGGGGCAACAGCTGGGGCCACAGTGCCAGTACCCAGCTCCGGCATCGTCTGTGCAGGATCGGGCCCCAGGGTCCGGGGGAAAGATGGGGGTTAAAAAGCACTGGGTTTCTTTTACCGCAGCCGCTTGGATTAACCACAACACACAGACAGAGGGAAAAGCCCCAAAGATCGGGCTGAAATGGCGGCACCCGAGCAAGTGAGGGATGCTCCCGAATCATCTGGAGCAGCATCACCTGCTCTAATAAAAGAATCCCCTCTCCTTTTGGGCTGTGGGGGAATCTCCATCCACAGCAGGGCTCAGTAGGATCCCCCCACTTCCCCAGCCTAATTTTAACTGCCCCAAATCCAGCAAACCCCCCCTCCTCTACCCCCAGTTTTCTGGGAGCCGAGCGACCCCTGCGCTCCACCAGGCAGCCAAAACAAACCCAGAAAAAGCTTTTCTGCTTCTGTTCTTGCCTGCCCCCGCCCCCCAGCATCTCCCAGCCTGCCCTCCCCACGCCCTGTTTCACTCCAAATATTTGCACCAAAACCCATCTCGCGCGAAAGAGCCCAATTTAAAATAAAAAGAAAAAAAAACCAGAAACCCAACAAAAACAAACAGATAAGAAAAATAAATAAGGGAAAATATCCCCTTTGAATCGCTGAATGAAACGGGGAGCTAAAAAGCCCCATTGAGGAGCGCGGGGCGGATGATAGCTTCCCGATTGAACCCGCGGGAGAAGTAACTCTGTTCAAGCTAATTAGGGCCTTTTAGGACATTCAGCCCAGCGATGCTGGTGTAACGGTGAGGAAAAGAGTCTCCTAATTGGCTTCCTGCTGGGGTGTCAGTCCCAAAGTCTTTATTATCCCTCCCTGCACCTTTTCAACCCTTTCTTCCCTCCCTGGCCCTGTGGAAAGCGTGGGCTGCCCCGGCACAGCCAGGCTGTGCTGCGGCATGGCTTACCCTGCTGCCTCTCCAGGCTGGTTTGCCCTTAAAAAGGCAAATTTGCAGCGGCTACGGAGCTGGCTGGGGCCGTGGGGCTGGCTGGGGACTCCTCCAGGGCCAGAAGGGCTCGGGGGGGAGTGCCCCGGTTCCCGCGCTGGGACAGCCTGCGCCCGCTCGCCCCAAACCAGCCCTATCAAGCGGCTTTGGCTCACCTGTGCTTTTGTGGAAGTGATGCTGTGTGATAAAAGAGACAACAAAAGCTCTTTCCAGCACCCCTATTCATTGCTCCGGGGTTTTCTCCTGTCCGAGACAGCTCTTGAGCTGCCCTCACCTCCCCAGGGGCTGTTGAAGCCTGCGAGCCCACATTACAGCTTCAAACAAAACCAAGCGTGAGCTTTCACCCGAACCCCCAAGAAACATCCCCCTGACGAGACTGGACAAGCCAAGGAGCGGAACCACACTGGGGCCACCCCTCAAGCAAAGCCCAAGCGCTGCTGCCACTGAAACATCACAGCCCTTGCCCCGAGAGCCGCAGGGAAAGATAACGCTGCTCGGCTGGGAAACATGCTTCGAGGCAGATGCACGTGCCTTCTTTTCCTCCCTACCACCCTCCGAACCCCCGGGGCCAATTTGGATCACGACACGTACAAGTTTTCTGCAATCAAATGGCTGTTTTCTCCCCTCTTCAGAGAGCAAATGCTCCAGCGTATGCTCAGCCCGTAGGAGAAGCTGGAGAAGTCAGGTGGGAAAATGAAGGGATGCACGTGCCACATGTAGGAAACACATTTGTACCTTATTAGCCAGCAGAGAATCCACCCACAAGAAACCCAATGGCCTTAGTAGCTTGGTGATCAGCCCCACTCCTGTCTTTAATAATCCCATGTTCTAGCAGTGACTTTCTCATGTGTAATTTAACCCTTTTCTCTAATGGGAAAGGCATTTTTTGGACCTTCCCAACATCTGATGAACCTCCGGCAGCTGCTATGAGCATGGCCAGACCTCAGTGCAGCCTCGCTGGATGCATACCGCGAGCATGGCCCCGGCCTTGGCAGCTCTTCCTTGCCGAGGGATGCTCTCCGCAACCATTTTGCCATGTGGTTAATGGAAGAATAAATGGGAATGCAAATAAAACATTTGCCTCTGAGCCCTCTTCCTTCCCCTGGACTCATGGGGAGGTGCCGGAGCACAAAGCCAGCGTGGAGCATCCCTCGGATGGCCCTGCTGGGAAGCGCCTTGTCCTGCGAAGAGCTGTTAAATGGGAATTTGTTCTGCTCTCACAAACACTTCCCAGACACGCTGAGCTGCTGCTGTGAGTGTGTTTGAAGGAGGGAGGAGGTATCACCACCTCTGGATGCTTTGATGCAGATGGGATGGGTTGTTTTTTTCCTGGGTAATTTGGTGAATATATATATACACACACACATATATATATGCATGCATATACATATATATTATATATTCCTCTGCCGTGGAGGGGAAGGGCTGGCAGACACTGGGGCAATCGCAGCCCCGGTGGATGCTAAACCCTGCCCTGCAGCGCCTCATAATTCCCTGGTTGTTCACACGTTTGAAGGCTCAGCTCAAAGCCAGGCTCACTCGTGCACAGACTGCTCCCCATCCCTGGGTCAAACCCGAAGGCTCACGTTTGGCCCCCCCCTGCAGACACTTTGCTTCCCCCACTACAGTCTTTGTGGGGGTGATATAATTTCCAGCCCCTACGTATGCTTAGCACTGTTTCTACACATCACCCAGCACAGAGCGCCTGTATTTAACCAGCTTTACCTGATCTTTCCAGGTCGGTCCCGTTCCCAATGCTCAGCTCATCCCAGCAGCGTTGGCATGGCTGGCAAAGGAGGGCGATCCTCCGGGCAGGTGGGACCACAGCGGAGCCACCCCTCCCCACCTGCCCATGCTGGGGTGGCTCGGTGCCGGCAAGGCGATGGCCAAGCCGGGGCGGAGAGGGGCTGCTGAGCCCCAGGAAGGGCTTCGAGGGGTTTCTTGGTGTGGCCTGAAGAAAATCCCCTCCCGGGGGCACCCTGGCCACCTCCTCTATGAACCCACTGGTGACCATGTTGGGAATGGACTCACATTAAAAATAATCCCAGCAGCAGAGAGGTGGGGCGGGAGCTCGGGACGTGCCTGCTCCAAGCCGCTGCTCCTAGCCGGAGCTGTGGAAGGATGCTCAGGACCTCAAGTACCAGGAAGGAGGGGGATCCCACAGCTTCCCTGGCCTGTCCCGGGGCTGCACCACCCTCTGAACTTGCCTGGGAATTACAGTGGGGATGGATCTGGATGACGGGGAGCTGCCTGCTGCTTGTCCCCACAGCAAAGCACAATTTTTAAAAGCCGCTGCACGTAACAACACAGCGAGAAAAGACAGGACACGGTGTCATCGTAACCCAGAAGACACCTTGGGATGAAGACACTATGGACCCTGATTTGGGGGTTGTCTCAGCATCTGCAGGGGGACTTTTTTTTTTCCAAGGAACACATTGCATCGCTGCTTCATCAAGCATCTCTCCGCAGGGCTTCATCTCCAAACCCGGCAAAAGCCATACCCCAAATTGCCTGGTGTACACCCCAGCACGGGCAGTTGCCAAGGAGCAGAACCAGGCTGCCTGGCCCCGGCAGGGTTGAGACCCAGCTGGCAACCTGCCCCTGGGCTCAGTGGGCTTGGGGGCACCCTGGGAGGGAGATGCTCCTGCTCCGCATCCCTTTGCAACTACTCGTCCCTGGGAAGCGTCGGCCGAGAGGGGCGACTCACCATAGTCTTTCTTACAGTACTTCTTCATGTTGATCTTCAGTTTCCCCTTGGAGGCTTTGCAGTATGAGTCACAATCTGCACGGGAGAGAGGGGGAGGGCAAGAAAACATTAACAAAACAAATTAGCCTTAAAATGAATAAAAGGCTGGGGGAAGGGGGGGGACGGCTCAAAGCTGCAGCCTGCCATGAATAAGCAGCGTGCCTGTGATATCCATCTGCCAGGCCCCGATTGGGTCGTCTAAGGGGGCATTCAGAAAAACCTTCCTTTCTAAAGAAAGCTTTTCACAAAGGAAACCATCCTCCTGCCCGCCTCCCCCAGCCCGGCTTCCCTGGGCCGCCTCTGTCTTCCTGGGAGACCCCGGGGCCTCCCTTATTGTGCCACCCAGAGCTTTTGAGAGCCACACAAATTCCCCCTGTTCTCCAGCTCCCAACTGGAGCCTGCCCGGAGCCCACAGAGGCCCCATTGTCACCCCTAACCCGGGCCAGTGTCAGCCTTTGGCATTCATTGCCGAGAGATTCGGGCTGGGGTCACCCTCCGACAATGCAGGTCAGAGAGGAAATTAGCAGCCCATGAAGCATTAGCAAAGCCTTTTGGTGTCCACTCTACTGAAGTGTGCAAATAAAATACCCCAGTAGGAACATTTCATTTCTAATGGGCCCCCACTGCTGGGACACGCTGGCTTTGCTCGGTGCGGCGGGCAGGCGGGAACGCTGGCACGGCAGCCTGGCAGCTCTGCCGGGGCTGGCAGGGCTGGAGCCGGGCCGCGGGCCCGGGCGGCCGGGGGGGAGCTGGCCCCTGGCCCG